TCTCTAACGCTAACGATAAGGATCAGGATAAGAGCTTTGATAATACCCAGACCCAGAGTATGTCTGATATTTTTGATAAGGACCGGCTGAATCAGCCTTGAATGGGGCGGAGAAGCGATCCTAAGCCAAGGGGTGGATAATTTTGCGTACGCCTGGTGGAGGGGATGGGGCAGAAAAAGCGCTTTAGTATGGGCGGAACACTGGCCACCTGTGAAGAATTGGATATTTATGATACAGGGCATTCCTTCGGTTCTTATCAACCACTTTGTTGTTATCAAATTTTTTATCTTCAACCCTAGAGACATAAATAACACTTTGGACGCAGAGCACAATGATGTGGCTCTTTTTGGCTCAATTTTCACCGTGCAAATTTAAGGCAGGACTTGGAGAGCCTGTGTCGTTTCTATGACTCCATCCAACCTCTAACACCATCTTGAAATAGACGGCATTTTTAGCTTCTCGCTCATGATATGATTTGCCTTCCTGTTCCTGGCACGCAGCGTCTTTCTCCACCGTGAACTCGTAGTCCAAAAGTGGACGGCATGGAAAACACACTACATAGGGCAGTTTCTTTTTTCATCAACGGCTAGGCCTTCATCATTTGCTTAGTAATTTTCGAGCCCAACTCTCATTCAACACTTCTGGTGTTTCACAAGAATGCTGGGTTGTGAACAAAACTTTCGCCCCAGGCGGGACTAGAACCCGCACCTCTCGCTTTCCGGGCAAGTGCGCTACCAGTTACGCTACCGGGGCACCATTTCATTCCAACTCAGCTTTTCATGGTATACGTACCATAGCTTTCAGCACTCACACGTATAACGTGTTGAGCCGGTTAGCCGATATCGGCAATGACCGCGAGGCTGAAAGCTTTAGCAATGAATTTTGACTTGTTTTGTTTGTTAACTGCTGTTTTAACGCCGCAGTTCGCGTTGCGAATGTTTCACAAGAATGCTGGGTTGTGGGGAGAGGGACTTTAGTCAAAAATGACCTCTTAATCACTACCTCGCACCTGCCACCTTATGCCTCCTAGCAATCGCCTGCGGAGTGACCTCACTTAATTGACTATGCTGACTGCTGACCTCGCGCAGACATTCTGAGCTCAGGACCACAGACACCAGAATCGTTATCTCACAAAACAAGAGTTAGGTGATTCACTTAATTTTGGTTATTTTTCTTGCTCAAGAATACGTTTGTTGTGGAAAACTGATAGAAGCCGTTCCATCAAAATATTTTCACTAAGCTCCTCCGCTTTTTCCCATCTTTTTAGTGAATTGGTGACCCCGCTGCGAAGGCAGTTCTAGTTTCAACGTGAAATTTCACCGGCCTGTTTTGCACACATTTAAGCTTTTGAATTCGCCTGCTAACTAGGTTGCGCCACATCAATGCGATGTAGAGGTAATCGCAAGACGGTATGTCCGTTGATTGAGCTGGGCTGGAAAGTTTTCCCATCCATGCGGCAGGGGAGTTTCCTCGGTTTTTCAAAATCCAGGATTTGCTCCGATCTGACCCCCACGCGGGGAGATTACATATTTGTGTGTCAGCCTTTTTCTCTCTTTCGAAGCTTTCCCGTTGCGTATGACCTTTTCAGAACAGCAACGTTGGGATTATCCAAATAAGCTAAAAGCGTCACAACGCTTGCAGATTATTAGCCAGGAGATTTGCGGCTGGTGCTCGTTTTTTTGCCAGAACAACAAGATCACCACTTCTATAATAAATTATTGGAAGTAAATCTTCAATAGGATATGATAGAGTCTGATTCTACAAAATTTGGTGAGTCTCAATAGCTATTTTCTT